AGAGAGAGAGAGAGAGAGAGAGAGGATGGGCTGTTGTTCATTCATTAATTCAGCAAATATTCAATGACTACCTACTGTTTTGTATCAGTCTCAGCCTACCAATAGCCAATGTTGTGGCTGAACCAGCCCTTAGGGTCTTACGATTGCAAGACACCCTTCAGCAATAACCATCAGGAGACTGAAAACATACAGGTTTATTATACTTACAAGACCTGGAAATTACACAGCATACCTGGAACCACACTGCAGAGAGGTCGGGGGTGGGGGCATAGGGTTTCATGGATTCACTCTTCAGTAGTGAATTTAAAACATAAGTGTGGGAGTTGAACTATCAGGAAAAGAAGCAAACAAGAAGCCCAAGTGGTCAGTTATTAAAATCAACCAAGACCTCTAAAACAAAGGAACCTCAGTTGGGGAAAGCGCATGGTTCTTCATCTGGTCAAGTGTCTGGCAATGCGTTTATTCTAGAAAGCCAGTCTACGAAGTAGATGCCTCTTTGAGATGAATGTGTCCACAATCAAAGCTTAAGTTAGGTACTTGCATTACAAAACAAAACAAACAAACAAATTCAGGGTTTACACACACCTACCATGAATCAGATTCTCAGTAGTGCCTACTAAGGGACACAGTATTTGTAAAAGTTCTGAAAAGTTTGAAAATATTAAAAGTTTTAAACAATTGATAGAATACAAATTAATCATTCTGTATTTGTCATGAAAGCTCTTTCCTGGAAACCAGAATGAAGACACATGAAGCCAAGAGCCACAGCCATCTCCCAGTTCACATATTACAATATATTAGTGAGAAATAAATCTTTGTTGCTGTAAGCCACTGAGATTTGGAGTCATCTGTTACCACGGCTTACCTAGGGAAAAGTTAACTAATACGGTAGCCATGTTTTCATCATGCAAACTAGAGAAAGAGAAAACTTATCTTCGTTAAGAGTTATTTAATGAAGTCCTTGTACAAACACCAATGACAACTTAAGAACTAATGAAACAAAAACTAGCTGTAAGAGCCACTGGGGGGGAGGGGAGGGTGTCTTTAAGATTATAACGAAAACGTGATGCCTGAATGGCATCTACTATCATAGACTTCAAACGTTAACATTTTTACACATCCAAAGTAAAGCACACAATGGTTTATGTAAATGGTTTACATTTTACAAAGAGTTTTACAATCATCTCAATTTACAGATTAGGAAACTGAGGCCCAAGATGACACCGTGGCCTTGACTCCCAGGTTTTCTGATGCCATCGTCTCTTCTTTCCTCCACATCACGCCTGATAATTAATGCAAAAGTTTTTAACCAGGATCAAATTTTGGGTGGAAGTGCCTGGATAATCTTCATTGGTAAGCATGATCGCCCACCCTACACAGCGCCCCCAGAGGCCATCACCCATTCACCTACCATCCGCCCAACACTGAAGAGCGGGGCGAACTAAAGTTTACGTCAGCGGAGCGCTCCCCCTCCCACCTTTTTTGTCCTCCACCCTTCCCGAAAGGCCAAGCGGAGCACTGCAGGCGCAATGACAGGGGAGCAAACGTGATTGGGCTGCCCTGCATCACCTGACTCCCACAAGTCGTGGGATTTGGCTCTCAGCAAACGGAAGCCCCGCGCAAAAGTGGGGTTTGCGATGGTGGGGGGAGGGGGGCGGGAGAACTAGAACCTTGGGGGAGGAGCTTGAGCGTTAGCCGCTGTCCCAGTTCTGCCAAGCAATCGTGTCCAAGTCTCTGGTTATTGTCGTACCGCTGTACAGACGCCGGGATACTACAGCGACCAGTCGCTCACTGGCCTGGCAGGTGGCCGTTCGCGTGAGCGGCACCAGGGAATGGATGCGGAAAACGCGGGCAGGTAAGGCCGGGGCGGGGCGCTGCCCCCCCCCCCGCGCCCCTCGCGGCGGGGCTGACGGGGGCGCGCACGCACGCAGGGGTCTCTGAGTGTCGCTGCCCGAGTACAAAGGCCGGGGCTGCGCTTGCGCACTGCCCGCAGGCTCTGACCACTCCTCGCCAGGGCTGCACAGGCGCGGCGACTCAGGCATCTGGGGCCCATGTTCAGTCTTTTCCGGCATTTAGTAGGCAACCGGCAGTCTCCTGTTAATATTTCTGGTTGCCATTCTTGGTTACATTTCCCTTCACCCGTCATTATGCAAAGAGCTGTAAAGATGGGAGTATCACGTATCCTTCCAAGAGTTTTCATTTTAGAGTTAGTCGATTTGCTGTGGCTTCCCTCCCGCAAAGGTTTTCTAAAAGCACTGTGAAGGGCCACAGGGTAGGTAACATTGTCTTACTAGAGCTCTTGAATTCTTAGACCGTGAATAACACTCCCAAGAAATCATCTAAAACTGTCTTCTAGTAGTCTTGGGAATGAACTTAAGAATCGTCCTTTGGGGAGTGTTAGATGCGTGGAGAGAAGGTTTTGCAACAGATTTTGACATTTGAACTGGCAGAAAACGAAATGAAAAAGAATCAGATATGATAACAGGGCCTTTTTTCAAAAGTAACGATTTACATTGGAATAAAAGACTATTAGACCTATGAAGATTATCCTGACTCTCAGTAATTAGTGGGCTCTGAAGTTAGTTAGGCAAGTTCTCTGGGCCTGTTCATGTCTGTAAAATAGGGCATCTCTGGAATCCAGTTCTGACATGCTGTGAATCAGTGTCATGTGGAAGGGAGACTCCAAAATAGTCTTAGAGTTAAGGAAAGGAGATTCATGTAGATAAAGTGGGGACTTTAGATTGACTCTGTGGATCAAATCCTAAAATAAAGCACTTCACTTTTTTCCCAGAAAAACTTCACAAATAGAAGACTTCACCACAACTTGTGGAAATCACTCTCATCTTTGTGATCTTACTTCAGATCAGAATTGAAACCTAGGTAAAGCCTACCATCAAATGAATTACATGTTATAAGACCTTATTCAGTGTCTTATACAGCAAAGTACTATGTCTCTGGTACAATATTTAGCTCAAAACTGTCCGACTTATATTCTGTATTCACTTCATCCATAGGGTTACTGATCATTTTTTATTTTGACTTGCAAAACTTGAACCTCAGGAAATACGGAGAATTCTGCGTTAATACTGCAAGGAGTTTATCCTTGGGGATTCCGAAATGACAGGCCCCAGATAATCCTGAGAAAGTGGTTCTCTGTCACCCTTACTTTGTACTAATCAAGGAATGGAACGGAATGCTGGGTAATAATGAATTTGCTTTTTATTTTGGAAGATTAGTTTCAAAAAATTCAAAAGAAAAAAATTCCATGGATATAGACTAAAAAAAAGAAAACATAGTTTAAGAGTCATAGCAAACACAGCCTAACCAGAGAGGAAAAAGGAAGATGAAGACCGGTATGCTTCTAATGGGATCAAACATGAAAAGGACATTCACCAAAGGTGGAAGTAGAATGCCAGATCAGAAATGACTGGAAAAGTGTGTCATGGATCACTGAGACTACAGACAGGAAAGATTAACCCTCAAATGAGATCAGGCAATTGAGAAATGTGCGTGACACCAAGAATAACATTTTTAGTTACAGGTGGACAGTGAGAAAGACAAGAATGGTTTGGGTTTTCTGCCTAGTTTACTGGCATGGTATTAAATGGTGACAGAAAACATAAGCACTTAGTTCTGATTTTGACTTTTCATCTCCTATGTTAAGCAAAATGATGGTAGACTAGAAATGGCAGAATGAATATCTGTAAGAGACTTTATACTCAAGATCAGTAAGGGCAGTTAAGAGAACTTTCAGCTGCTCTGACAAATCATATTTCCTGGCCTTGGATTTCAAGTGAGAGGCCAGATTACAGCAGTCTTTTAAGAACTTGTAGACAACAGGAGAGGGGCTCTGAAGCCTGAAAATAAACAGATGAGTTCCTATTTCTTCCAAAGGTGGAATGTGTCCTGTAATTTATTAACTTTGATCCTCAACAAAATGTTTACTTCTCAGTGGTTATTGAGCATATTTAAAAGGAACTAGTGAGCACTAGTCTACAGCGTAAGTTCAG